CCATAAATCACTGTGAATTAAGGTGAATGGTTTGGTCGGTTTGTATGTTGATTTTGGGAACGAGGTACGATGGTGTTTAGCTAATTCACAATTTTCACATTGGAAATCAACTGACTCTTTATTCGAGAACATAGAAGGAAATATAAGACGTAAATACTGAAAACTGGGATGACCCATTCGAAAATGCCATAACAAAAGTTCACTATCTCTAGGAACAAAAACAGAATCACAAGTTGCAATTTGATCACGCTTACTCTCATCAGCCTCCTCAAAGTAGTAGAGTCCCCCACATTCCTTAGCACTGCCAATCGTCTTCCCCGATGATAGGTCCTGAAAAGTACAAGACGACGGGAAAAATTTAGCTAAGCAATTGGAATTTTTAGTTAATTGGCTAATTGACAGTAGGTTACACGACAGTTTTGGAACATGAAGAACAGGTTCCAGAGTTATGAAGTTAGAGATTCGAATACTCCCTTTTCCTGCTACTGGTGAGAGTGAACCATCTGCGATTCTGACTTTGATATTGCCAGCACAAGGGGAATACGTGGAAAAAAGGTGGTAGGAGTCCGTCATATGGTCAGACGCACCAGAATCAATAATCCAATGAGCTTTGGATTGAGTAATTGTATGTAACGCACTCAAAAAATTACCTTTGTGGGCTAGTGAACTCGATGGACCCGAGGACTGGAAGTTTGAAAACATTTTATATAATTGCTCCATTTGTTCCGAATTAAATGCACCATTCTGAGCAGAATTATTTTTTTCCTCGATGGAATCAACCATTGCTTGGTAACCTCGATTTCTGTTAATTTGTCTTGGCTTCCAGTCAACTGGTTTTCCATGTAGATCCCAACATGTATCTTCTTTATGACCTGGTTTTCGACAATGATCACACCAAGGACGTCCCCTTTGTTGTTTTGGGCCAAACCCATTAATGGGTGTCCCTTTAGAAGTTAGGCCCATTTCAATAGGCCCATTCCCCTTACCTCCATTTAGTGTCGGCCCTCTAAGAACTTGGGTTGACCCATGGCTTTTATGTAATTGGGCTGACCCACCAAGCCCAATTCCTTTGGATAATAAGGCAGATCCGTCTTCTTCTCCTGGCCCAGAGGTCCTCCCTTCTCGAAGCATCACGCCTCGCCGGTTTTCTTCTCTACGAACTTCGGCGAAGGCTTCGCGAAGTGATGGTAGGGGTCGCCGGCCAAGAACCCGACCTCTCACATCATCCAACTCCCTATTCAGCCCAGCCAGAAACTCGTATACCCGTTCGTTTTCAAGTTTCGTCCTGTACCGTACGCTATCTGCCGAACATTCCCATTCTTCATCGACGTTCTGATCGAGTTCCTGCCAGAGTGAAGACATCTCCAGGTAGTATTCTGTCACGTTTCTCTCCTTTTGCTTCGTCTGCCAGAGTTTGGTTTTAATTTCAAAAATTTGGGAAGAATTTTCAGCGTCTGAGTACATGTCCCGAACGGCATCCCACACATCCTTTGCCGTTGGTAAAAACAGATACGTCTTGCCAATTGGTGGTTTCATTGAATTAACCAGCCACGCAGTCACCATAGAGTTTTCCGAACTCCATTTTTGTAGAAGTCCAGCGTCGGTTGAGGCGGGCTTGTTCTTCTCTCCGGTAAGATATCCTAGTTTCCCTTTTCCGTTGACGATGAGTTTTATTGACTGAGCCCATTCTCGATAATTTGTTCCATCCAATTTTTCGACCGTGAGTTGGAATGAGGTATTATCGAGTCCACTTGAACCCATGGTGGGGAGGGATTCAACCTCATTGTTGTGAGTTTCTGAAGTTGTTGACTCCATCGATTGTATGTTAGCTAGGTCAGGACAGACTCTAGCTCTGATACCATGTGAATTGGAACGTGAATAATCTAAATTAGGTTATACAATCAATACAAATCAATCCCTTAATCTCGGGATTTCTACAGAAAATTTTCCAATGCTCATTGAACTTTTCCTATTTAGGGCATTTTGATGACATTTGACAAATATAAAAATCATTGGAACAAACATTACATCCTTAAACTGACATCATGGCCTATATATATACACCACTTTAGAACACTCACAAAACCAACAAAGCCGAAGAATATCAATACATATATAATATTTAAAAGCTCCCTACTCCAATACAAGAAGAATGAAGGGTGTTATTGTATCAGTTGTAGCAATTCTTCCTATCATTCAATTGGTGGTCCAAACTGGACAGGCCATAATCACTTGCGGTCAAGTGGACGAGGCTTTGGCACCGTGCATTCCCTATCTTACTGTTGGGGGGGGGGGGGGGGGGGGTGGGGG